AGGCCTGATAGTGTAGTAAGTCTTTGGTATTTGGGTATAAAAAGAATAAAAGAGGTACAGTTGCACTGGAGCTATAATGTAGCTCTCACTTTAGTGCCTGAGAGGTCTGATCCCCGCCTAAGTAGTGTAGTGTATGGCAAGTGGTTAGTCCTTGTGAGATGTGGTAGAAAGTATCATTGACATAGGAGGAGAACAAAGTAAAATATTATGGTGTAGTATATTTAACATAAGATATTCTAATAGTAAATAAGTAGATATGCACTCACATTTTCTGGAGCCTAGCAATGGCTCCTAAAATATATATCATGACCCCTACTCTGGGATAAGTGGGTGATGCAAGTACTCTCCATATAAATTTGGAATGAGAGAATAAAACAATGTAGTGCACACCCTGAGTGAAGGTATAAAACAAATAAAAACTCACTTACATGGAAATGAGCAAATGTGGTTTTCTCAATCCTAGGTGAGTCCCCACCAAGGATATATAGTTCAGAAGATAAGCAGCAACACAGGGAGGTCCAGATTTTTTTTAAAAAGTACTTTATTGGTATATAAAACAATAAAATAATATGATAAAAAAGAATAAAAAAACAATATCTGTTGTACACTAAACCAACAAATAAAGACAGAGTAAACTTAAATATATAAAGCTGATTGATCAAATCATTCGACAAACATGGAGAAAGTTGTTACTGGGTAGAATGCTTCCGGTTAATTATTTGCTGATATTAAGAAGGCATTTCTCTAAGAAATTAATTCATATCTTGTGTATAATGTTTCCCTTTTGCTGCATTTCAGATGGAAATTTAATGAGAACAAAGTTAAACATAACACACAGAGGAAATCAGTTTCCAAGCCTACATCCTATATATATAATTCCAACAAAATGTTTCCTTTTATTGCATATTGGCAGATTTTCCCTTAAATTGTTATTTTTCACACACCTCAATTGCTTTATAAGTTTAGGTGATTCTAAACCAGTGAAACGTTCCTTCTGAATACCCCGACTTTCGAAAGTTATCCTATATGTACGCTTTATAAGTAATCTCCTTTGTGTCTCTGCTTTGTTTTAGTATAGCTGGGGATTCTATCATTGCGGAGGGATTCTGTATTGGAGAGATAACAACATGGTTTTCTCAAATAAATATTTTACTAAACCTCAAAAGCAAATGTACTGATTGTGATTAATCGTCTCATATTTTTTATCGTAGAGCGCAGAGTAAGACGTTCTTTCTGAACTCTGTGTATGAAAATGGAAGGGTCAACTATTATTTATTAAGTTTCTATCCAAGGCTCTCTGGGATCTTGTTGCATGGACACAGTGATAGTGGAGTGTAAACACATGGATCCGGATTAGCTAGGGTTACCCGGGAGAAAGTGTTTGGAAGTCCAAAGACTGTCGCTGTAACTTTGATGATTGGTGCTGTTTGCAGTCATGCATGCTCTGCACCAGTCATCATAGAGACCTAGGCAGTCTCTGAACTCCTGGGAGTAGGCCTTAAAGCTACTCCACATCAGTAAGCTATGCGTGATAAGAGCCAGAACATGTATCTCCTGGTTCTTTAAATTACATGAATTTAATGTGGAACTGTGAATTACAATTTCAAACCCTATTTTGTCATTTTTTACATTGGTTTTCAGATTTAAGGCTGCAATGACAGGATCCTGGCACCATAACCACTTCAGTTAGCTAACCTAGATTGTCCCTTTAGACAATTAATTCTACCTGTTTCTTGCTACTTTGTAACTAGGTACCACTGCACCAAAAATACAGCTGGCAGCTATATACTATAAATAAAACCAGCTACAGTTTCATCTTTTATCACAAGCTGCCATGAAACTCACATTGCAGCATCTGTATCGGCCTTCATTTAAACTCAGTAAAAAGCTTTCTAATAGAAGTAGTTAATTCTTGCTCAATCTCAGCCTTCTAGTTCATTCAGGTTACCATCAAGTTAATTTACTAAATACATTCCGATTGGGTCATAGCATATGTTCTAATGTATTTTGCATTCGGTTGAAGGAATTTCACTTAGATACATCATAATAAAATGCAACTAGTGCTTTAAATTCCATTAATCACATACAATAATGTCAATCATGAGTAAACCCAAACAACTCTACCTTCTAAAGCACATTGTAAAAATGTGGTTAAAGGGACACTCCACAAACGTAAAGCCCTTTAGCTTGCTTAGGTACTTTATGTTTGAAGAGTGTTCCCTCTTTTTTTTGTTTTTACAAAAAGCGCAGATCTCAATATAAATTGGCACATTTACAGATGAACCTCACGTTCAGCTTCCACGCTGTCAATCAATCAATCTGTTACTTCCTGATTGTTTAGCTCAGTGGAGCTAAACTAAAGAGGTAGCAATTGCCCAGAGCAGCTGGCTTGCAAAAACTGCCTTGCAACCACAACATGTGCATTTACCGCGAAGACCCTTTTTTACGCTAATTAACTACATTTTAATTAAGAGGTGTGAACCATTCTATCTCTATGTTAAGTTTTAATAATGTCATTGACGACAAGCCACCTGTTTTAGGGAGCACTGTGACTGCCCATGTATTGGGCAAGTGAATAGGTCCACAAAATATTTCTACATAAACATAGCCATATGCATTCTGGGTTTCAGACTTTGCAAGTACATGGGGTGGCAGCATTAGAGAAAACCCCTTCAGTGACTTACCTGTATCCAGCGCCGATGTCCCTCGGCGCTGGGTCAGGGTCCGTCCATGCTCCACCCCCGCCGGAGTCCTTTTGCGCATGCACGGCCGCTGGCGGGGGAGACCTAATGGGCACATGCACACGCATTAGACCTCCCCATAGGAAAGCATTGAAAAATGATTTCAATGCATTCCTATGGGGATTTCAGCAATGCTGGAGGTCCTCACATAGCGTGAGGACGTCTAGTGACGCTATAGCACACTTTTCGTGTGCTATAATCACAGAAGTGCCCTGTCTAGTAGACAGCCACTAGAGGAGGAGTTAACCCTGCAAGGTAAATACTGCAGTTTATGAAAACTACAATAATTACACTTGCAGGGTTAAGGGTAGTGGGAGTTGGCACCCAGACCACTCCAATGGACAGAAGTGGTATGGGTGCCTGGAGTGTCCCTTTAACACTCTCAACCAATGGATTCCATCCAAAAATGGGAAGGATTGATGTTACTAATGCAGAAGTAGAGACTTGAGCTAAATGATATATTAAGAGGATACCGAACCTCGGGCACCCAAGTAATTGTCAAACTGTTTAAAAATGGTCTGACATCCTGGTTCTACACAGAGCCCCAGATGCGACTAACTGAACCACAATTCAGCCCACTTAATTACTGTCTATATTATTATTATTATTGCTTTTTATACAGCGCCAGCTTATTCCACAGCGCTTTACAATAAAAGGGGAATTTACCAAATGAGACAATAACAAAATGTAACAGGAACAATAGGTAGTTGAGTTTATCTGTTATTAACTGCTAATATCATGGTATATCTTTCTTCTTTCTCTTGTTTAGTTCTTGTTTTGTTCTCTATATATAACATATATATCACGTTTTGTTCTGATCCTATATAACATCAACTATACAGCCATAATTTAAATCAAGTATAAGCTGGAAACGCTAACAGACAACAGTCGAACCAACGGCACTCGGATTACTGGGTCACAGTTATAAAGCTAGTATTAAAAGAATAGCTAAGGCCCAGAGGAGGCGGGCTGAAAGCTAGCCGGATAGGAGGCATGTGTGGGTGTGGTGGGTGTGGTGGAAGTATGGGTGTGTGATTTAGCTAAGGAGTAGGGTGGGGTCATATAAATAGGTGACATTTTGTCTGCTACCTCAGCCATCTTAAATTTAACGGCAAGGTAACTAGTCCCCTGTGCTAGCCCTTAGTTACTTTGCTTACCTCACGGCCAGGAGCATGGATATTGAAGGCATCCTTGCTGCCCTTAGGGCTGAGGCCCTCCAGGACGGTGGCAGGCACCTGCAGGCCCAGCTGGCAAGGCTGCAGGGTGCCTCTGTGGTAGCTGCTCCCCCTCCCGGCAGCCATGGAGCCCCGCGCCGCCGGGCGCGTCCCCCCACCCGTTATAGCCCCTCACAGGAGGGCCGGGTGGGGGCCAGAAGTAGGAGCCCAGCTGCCGGTCCGCGGGCCGGTTCCCACGCGGCCGCGGCCGGCGCTGACACCAGGCATTCTCCTGCCTCCTCCCCGAGCCCCTCACAGGAAGGCTGGGTGGGGGCTGGAGGCAGGAGCACAGCTGCCGGTCCGCGGGCCGGTTCCCACGCGGCCGCGGCCGGAGCTGCCATCAGCCATCCTCCTGTCTCCTCCCCGAGCCCCTCGCGAGCAGGCCGGGTAGGGGCTGGAGGCAGGAGTCAGGCTGCCGGTCCGCGGGCCGGTTCCCACGCGGCCGCGGCCGGCGCAGCTGCCTCGGTCCGCGGGCCGCAGAAGGGCGGCCGCGAGCTCCCGGTCGGCTAATCCAGCCCGGCCGGCGCGCCGGGTGCCTGATGTGCGCTCTGCCCCCTCCGGATCTCGGGCAGGGCGCGCACAGGTTGGGCCTGCATCCACCTCTCCTTCCAGGGCGGTAAGTGGGCCGCAGGCCACCGGGGATTTCGGGAGGGGGTTGGGGTGTTCGGGGGGTAGGGGCCCAGCGCCAGGCCCATCTTTCAACTGTCACAGCCCCCCCCCTTCTCCTTCTCCCCCCTCTGTCTCCCCTGGGCCTGCCTTTCCTGCACTCCCACTACCCTCATCCGTCCAGCCACTCACACTACCCTCATCCGTCCAGCCTACCCACTTGTATTCCCCCCTCCCCCTCCCACCTTTACCTAGGGCCCATGGTAACCCCCCTGGGGCTACCTCAGGCATGGCTATCCCAATCCCTGGTTCCCCTGTCCCACTCTCTGGTGCCCCTGTCCTATCTACTAATTTGCCAGGGTTCCCCCCCCCTACTGCGCATCTTCCAGCACCTGGGACGGGTGGGTCGGGTTTTTTCTCACCTGTCCTGTCTTCGCAGATTCTTCCAGGTCAGCTCGCTAACCGGGTCCCTGACGCTGTGTCTGGTGCGGTGCTTCCTGCGGTCGCAGTTCCCTCGCAAGTCGCGGTTCCGCTCCTACCCTCCAATTCGGCTCCTGCTGGTGAGTATTCTGCTTTTGCCGGATCAGAATCAGGGGGCGCTGGCGCACGCGAGTCGCAAGAATGGGGTTCGGTGCTCCAAGCGATAAGGAATGCTCTTGTAACTCTTGAGCGGGGATCTCGCCCTGGGGCTCCCCCCCCAACGGCCGTGGATAGCCAGCTTCGGGCGGGCTGGGCTAGTTCCGCAGGATGTGAGGTTGCGGGGGTTGCGGCAGCGTTACCCGATGCTTCTACGCAGGTCACCATCCCTCTGGCTGCGGCGCCTCCGCTAGTAACATCTGAGTCTTCAGCGAGTCCTACGGGGGTCACCACGGTTGTCTCGGGTTTAGGGGTAGCACCCGCTGCGCATGGGGCAGCGTACATGTGCTGGTCAGGCCCTCTGGGCCTCCATCTGACGCCTGATTTGAGGGCTAAAATAGAAAAAGGAGAATTTGTTGAAATTTTTTCCCTCCTCCCTTTGGAAGATCTTCCTCGGGTGGATGCAGATGCAAAAGAGTCTGAAAAAGACAAAGAGAAGTTTCGGTATCGGAAGATTCCGAAAACTTTTGGTAACTGGATTAGGGCCTTTTCTATCCTAGCTAGCGTGATAGGTGAAAAGACTCCCAGTAAATGCTCTTCCCTATTTTGCTACCAGGACATGATATGGAATGCCTGTCGGGTTTATGGCGGGCTAGGGTGGTGGCGGTATGATGAACAGTTCCGCCAACGTTTGGCGGTTTGCCCTTCCACGAGTTGGGATCAAATGGATATCGGCTTGTGGTTGGCCATCATGACCCGCCCAGCTTCGCATCAAGGGGGCCTTTCGTCCTTTCTTGGGGGGGCCGGCGCTGGGTCCTCATCTTCAGCGTCGGCCACTCAGCGGAGGACTGGGTACTGTTGGCAATATAACGACGGCCAATGTAAGTTCGGTTCCGCCTGCCGCTTCAAGCATGAATGTTCCGGGTGCGGCGGTTCCCACCCAGCATCGAAATGCTTCAAGCGAGGTAGGACCGGCGACAAAGGAGATGCTAAGGGCGAGGACGCCGGTGGACGTAGACGCGATGCGCCCTTGGCTAAAGCGTTATAGCAATAGGAAGGCGGCTGCCTTGTTATTGGAGGGTTTTGGACAAGGGTTTTGGATCCCTCACCGGGCCCGGCAGGTCTCCGGCTTCTGCCGGAACCTGAGATCAGTTGCCGATCACCCGGGGGTGGTAAGGGAAAAATTGGCTAAGGAGGTAGCGTTGGGTCGCATGGCGGGCCCCTTTCGAGAGCCTCCACTACTCGATTTGAGGGTTTCACCACTGGGTGTGGTACCCAAAAGGGAACCAGGCAAGTTTAGGCTGATTCACCATTTATCGCATCCTCAAGGGGGCTCGGTGAATGATGACATTGCCGCTGAATTGTGCCGCGTTTCCTACGCGTCCTTTGACGCGGCGGTGGATATGGTCAGGGCTGCTGGCCCCGGGGCACTTATGGCAAAAACGGACATTGAGTCGGCTTTTCGCCTCCTACCGGTTCACCCGGAGTGCCACCACCTCCTGGGTTGTATATTCGAAGGTCATTATTACGTGGACATGTGCCTCCCGATGGGTTGTGCGATATCCTGTTTTTACTTCGAATGTTTTAGTTCCTTCATGGAATGGGTAGTTAGAGCGGAATCCGGTTACGATTCCTTGCTTCACTACCTGGATGACTTTTTCTGTGTTGGCCCTGCGCGCTCCCCGATATGCGCGCACCTCCTGCAAGCAGTAGCGGATGTTGCTTGCGAGTTCGGAGTGCCGCTGGCACCAGAAAAAACAATTGGCCCTTCTACGTGCCTGTGCTTTCTCGGGATCGAGATTGATTCCGTTGTTGGTGAATGTCGGCTTCCATTGGATAAATTGGCTGATCTTCGGGAGGTGGTGCGAGTGGCGACCACTTTGCGAAAAATTACGTTGCAGCGACTTCAATCCCTATTGGGCAAATTGAACTTTGCCTGTCGGATTATGCCGATGGGCAGGGTGTTCAACCGGCGCCTGGCGGCCGCTACGGCTGGGATTTTGAAGCCGTCTCACTTCGTCCGCTTGACCAAGGCGCTCAGGGAGGACTTGGCAGTATGGGCAGTCTTTTTGGATGGGTACAACGGCAGGTCCTACTGGCAGCAGCCCGAGGTGACGAACTCGGTGCTGCACCTGTTTACGGATGCCGCGGGGTCTTCGGGCTTTGGGGCTATCATGGGAAGGCAATGGTGTACGGAGCCCTGGCCCGAATCGTGGTTCACCTCTGGCCTGACCAAGAACATGGCTTTCTTGGAACTCTTCCCCATTGTGGTGGCTATCCATCTTTGGGGGCCAGAGATCAAGAACAGGCGTGTTGTGTTCCACTGTGACAACCTGGGCGTTGTCCAGGCCATTAATAGGCTAACGGCCTCCTCCCCTCCTGTAGTTCCGCTCTTGCGGCGCTTGGTTTTACAATGTCTGTCTTTTAATGTGACTTGCCGCGCTGTGCATATCCCTGGTGTGGAGAATACCACGGCTGATGCTCTTTCTCGTTTCCACTGGCAGGTGTTTCGTTTGGCCGCGCCGGAAGCGGACACGGAAGGCCTCCCCTGTCCCAGAGACTTATGGTCCCTTGGCCTGAGCGGATAAGGGAATGGATTCGGTCTTCGGTGTCTGAGGCAACTTGGGTTCGGTACGGTAAGGCATGGGGGGACTGGGTTGCTTTGGAACAAGACCTAGGTGGGTTTGATTCGACCTCTGCAAGGGTTCAGGGGATCTTACGGTTGCTCTGGTTCTGGGAGGCTAGCGGGTGTTCTCCGGCTACGGTTTCAGGGAAGCTATCCGGTCTTAGTTTCTGGTTCAACTTGACTAAGGTGCCTGACGTTACCAAGGACTGCATGGTTCGGCTTGCGATGCGCGGCTGGCGCAAGGGCCCACACCTGCGGGATTCTCGGAGGCCGGTTTCTGGCGCTCTGCTAGTAGGCATTGCGTCGGTCTTATCCAGGGTTTGTTTTTCAGATTCGGAGGCACGTTTGTTCCAGTTGGCTTTTACTTTCGCCTTTTTCGGCGCCCTTCGAATCGGTGAGCTTGTGAGCCCTAGCAAACGGATCCCGGGGGGCTTGTTGTTCAACCATGTGTCTGTGGTGTCGGATTCAGTGCGTTTTTTGGTACGAAGGTCCAAAACCGACATCTTCGGCAAAGGGGCATGGGTTACCCTCCGCTCTATTCCGGGTTCGGCTGTCTGCCCTGTCGCATCTTTTCAGTCTTATTGTCTTGGTCGCCTGGACGTTGAGGGCCCTCTACTAATTCATGGGGACAGTTCCTTCCTTTCTCGGTTCCAATTTCTTCGGGTCTTTCGGTTGGCACTCGACCAACTGGGTATTTCGAGTGCAGACTTTGGGGGACATTTTTTTCGAATTGGGGCCGCAACTGAAGCCTCCCGTTTAGGTTTTTCGGACCAGGCCATTCAGAGGATTGGCAGATGGGAATCGGGGAGGTTTCGGTCTTATGTACGGCCCACACGTCTGATCGGTGTCCCCCTTGTGTTTTCTCCACAGGGCCTGGCCGACGGATCTGGTTGATCGGTCATTCGTACATCTACTGGGCTCACCTGCGGGCTGGGGTACGCCCGGGTGGGACACGGCTCGGAATACCTCGGGAGCTGGCGGAAGTCCGGTGGTTCGGGTTCCGGGGCATGAGATGGGGTCAGCTATTACCGGAGGTCGTGCAGTTATCCACTTTATTAGGAGCCCCGGACATCTTGGTGGTGCATCTGGGGGGGAACGATCTGGGGTCCCTGCCTGCGTGGGGGCTGGGGGAACTCATCAGGCGAGATTTGGCGCGCTTGCGTGTGCTTTTCCACGACTTTGTTTAATATGGTCGGATATCGTTTCTAGGAACTATTGGAAGTGCGCACGCGATCAGGGTGCTATTGAGCGCTGCAGGGTCAAGATTAATAAGCGGGTTTCCAAATTTGTCCTAGGCGTCGGGGGCTTAACAGTGCGACACCGTATTTTTGAGCGCGAGGCAGCAATCTATTTTCGCCCGGACGGGTCCATCTAACTGACGTAGGCTTGGACTTATTTAATTTAGCGCTACAGGACGCGTTGGAACAGGCCATGGCGTTGCTTGGGGGTCGCGCCCGCTGATTTAGGCGTAAATGCAGCTGGGGCTAGTGGCGGGTATGGTCCTTGCTGAACCTATTGGGAAGAGGAGTAAAGAAAAAGAAAGATGCTGGGTCGGGTCCCTCCCCTGACCTCGAAAATGTTTTGGGTATTTGGGCGTGCCCTCCGTGCCAGGAAAGGTGGCCAGGGGTTGGCATGTGGAGTTTGAAGGCCAAAGTGAAGGCCAGGTATCTTGGACGAGGGGGGAGGGCCGATGCCTTGGGTGGGGGGTGTACCCTAGAGTTTTGGTGGTACGGTTGGCAAGGACTAGTTTGAAGATAAGCATACTTACACCTAAATTATTTATGGTTGGTTTATTTACAGTTGTTTGTTAATTTATAAATAAAGCTGTGGCCTTTTTATACCACATATACGTTTCCTAGTTTGATTGGGGGGGAATTGAGCGATTTTGGGGATTGTTATGGTTCACACCACACGATAACCGCTACCTACACACAAGGCCCAGAGGAGGCGGGCTGAAAGCTAGCCGGATAGGAGGCATGTGTGGGTGTGGTGGGTGTGGTGGAAGTATGGGTGTGTGATTTAGCTAAGGAGTAGGGTGGGGTCATATAAATAGGTGACATTTTGTCTGCTACCTCAGCCATCTTAAATTTAACGGCAAGGTAACTAGTCCCCTCCCTCCCCTGTTTGTTTGCGTTGTTTGTCTGTTTGTCATTAACAATTTTTTCTTGTCACAGCCGGCGGGTATGGTCCTTGCCGAACCTATTGGGAAGAGGAGTAAAGAAAAAGAAAGATGCTGGGTCGGGTCCCTCCCCTGACCTCGAAAATGTTTTGGGTATTTGGGCGTGCCCTCCGTGCCAGGAAAGGTGGCCAGGGGTTGGCATGTGGAGTTTGAAGGCCAAAGTGAAGGCCAGGTATCTTGGACGAGGGGGGAGGGCCGATGCCTTGGTGGGGGGTGTACCCTAGAGT